TCCTATTTAAAGTCATTCTTTTTCTTTACCCCCACCGATGTAGGACTGCTAACACCAAACGATGTAGAGCAAGCCACGTGTATAAGTGTTCATTTTAACCCGAAAACTAGTATATAAATCATCAAATCCTACTAAAACATGGATTTGGATCCTCTCCTAAGCCAATGGAGATGATCCTCCTGACCAAGCATTGTGGGCCGTTGGATTTTCATCCAATGGCTACAAACAGGGAGGTCCCTTTAAAGTTATAATAACTATAGTCGTTAGATGAAAATCCAACGACCCATAATGCCTGGTTAGGAGGGTCCTCTCCATTAACTCAAGAGAGGATCCAAATCCCTAAAACATCACTTCACTTCACTTCATACTTCTATTGATATATATTTTATTATATATTTATATTTCTGCTGCGTCAACAACATACTACCAAAATTAAACAACGTTGCACTTTATATCGCGTATACATACACTCCAAAGTACGAGTGATGATTAGGGATGGGCAAATACCCATTGGTTATAGGTAACCGCGGTTACCCGTCCATTTAAATTAAACGGTTACGGTTATGGGTAACCATTTAGATAAATAAACGGTTATGGGTATAACCGTTTACCCGCGAAATTTAAATGGGCGGTTATGGATATTAACCACGGTTATAAACGGGTAACCGTTTACCCATTTATTTTATATATGTAAAACTAACACAAACCATTTTCTCGATCCAATAATACTTAGCACCCAATAAATTAGCAATGAATTCATTGGTCATTCTCTCAATAACACTACTACAGGAATGATGATTCTCATCATCAAGGAATTGGTCAAATTAATTTAAATTCCTTGCGGGTAACCGTGAAATTGACATAAATGTCTTCTAAACAATTTTTGTAACTCAATAATACTTAGCAAATATTATATTTACCTTCATTGGTAACAGTTAAAAATATTGTCTGTAAACTATTATTTCAATTATTGGAATGGTATAAGGACTTCAAAAATTAAAATATGGAAAATGTATGATGAATGTACCTATAACGGTGTTTAATTGTCAAAAAAAAAATTATGCCTACAACAGTGTTTAATTGTCAAAAAAAAAAATTATGACAATTTTTTTTTTAATTTTCAAGTTGTTAAAAAACATGTAGACGGGTGAAAAAAGGGTAATGGTAAAAAAAAAAAAGATAAACGGGTTATAAAAGATAAATGGATAAACGGGTATTAAACGGTTACGGTTAAATGGGTATGCGGTTATGGGTATGGTTAACCGTTTATAAACGGTTATGGGTATGGGTATAACCGTTTAGGCAATTACCCAACGAGTAAACGGTTATGCGGGTATGAGCATAAACGGTTATGGGTAAATTAACCGCGGTTACCCGCCCGCATAACCATTGCCCATCCCTAGTGATGATACTTCTCTTCAAATATTATTAATCATGATAGTGAGTTTGAATATTATTAATCAAGATACCCGATTTTGAATATTAATAGTTTCCCTTTGTTTTTCCAGGCCAAAGAGAAAACGAAACCAAGATGCCTGAACTGATGCATTCATTTTATTGATTGGACCTCAAACAGGTGAGCTCACACAATTACTGTATGCCACTAGAACATGATTGTTGAATTCCCTAAAACGAGAGCATTATCGTATGAATCAGTGATTTTATAGGATCCATAGTATGATATTTTATAGCATAGGTTTAGGTCTGGATATACAAGAACATAATAAAGGCCAAATTTAAAAAGGAGAAATTGAAATGGAGCCATATGATTCACTGCAAGAAAATTGGATAATAACCACTAGTATTAGTTATAAAGAATGTGGTGAGTGAAAACTTTATCAGTGGCTAAGGGGGTGAGTATGCCTTTCACCTACACTGTTAGCCACACATACGTCTTTACCCACCTCATTTTGTACACATAATATTTTAGAGCATCTTCAATGTGACGATACAAATTTGAGATGCACAAATTATATTACTTACCATTTTATTACATTTTTGGAAGGTGTAAATAGGAGTTCTACGACAATAGCAAAGATGCAAATTTAGAATCCAATTTCATTTCTCTTCGACTGGCAAGATCCGTGATAGGGATTTTTACCACCTGCAAAAGTAGGGATAAAAACACTTAAAAATATTTGCAAGAGTACAAGGTTGTCGTAGTATAGCAGCTCAAGTAAGGTCGTTTTCCGCCGGGATTGAATGAATACTTTATTTTGAAATCAAATCTTAATTAATTATTTGAAAACAAAGTTTAGAAAAAGGTGATTTAATAACCTAGAATATTAAAAACGAAATTTAAATTAAAACGATTAAAGAAATTAGCAAAGTAAATAAAACAAAGGAAAACGTTTTGAAAACCAAATTGTAAAAGCCTAGGGTTCCACCATCCCTTTAACAATCCTATGTAGATTTACCAATTACTTATAAATTACCCATGTAACTTTGAAGGTTAGGTTTTCCTAATGCATATTCTACTCGTGGTATTCAAGCTAGAACATATATCAAACATGCAATCCGTCTATGGTATTCAAATCAAATATAAACATGCATAACTCATTACGCTTTGTGAAAACCCTTTGAAAAACCATGCAACCCCTAAGATGTGGTATTCATCCTAAGTGAAATTACAAATATTAATCACAAGAAGCAATACTCAATTCCCCGGTAGTATTCTGATTGAATTGCATCTGATTACATATCTAAACATCCTAATGGTAGCCAAGCATTAAGATATAGAGAGTTTAAAGCATAGTGATTAATAATTCAAAGCATGCATGCATAATATCATAAACAGTTAAATAAAAACTACATATCCATGCTAAGGCTAAAAGCATCGCCCTAGCAAACAAAACTAGTTACGAACAACCATAAAACAAAATATTAATAAAAACATGGATAGAAAACACCTTGAAAATGAACTTGAATTGTCAAAAACAATTCTCCAAATAGTGTGTGCGTTCTCCCCTCTTCTAATGGCTAAAAAATCTTATTTATACTACTAGAAAATAAAACCCTACCTTGAAAAGGTCTTAGAATAAAACTAGGAAACATAATTAAATGATAAAACAGAAAATAAAAGGTTTCCTATTTGAACTAGAATTCGGAGTTGTCAGAAAATTAGTCTTTTGACCAATCAAATCAACTCCAATGTGGTCTCAAAAGATCTCTTTTGAAAGCTGAAGATGTTACCTACAAATCCTCAGAAGAAATCTTCCTCAAAATATGTCATCTTGACCTCCAAAATACCCAAAACGTTCAGAAACGTCAATCAGGAAAAGTTGCCCGCTGAACCTTAATTTCATCACCACGGTCAAACGGCTTGGTAGAAAAATCTGGAATTTTGACACAATCATCTTGAAAGGCACACGAACATCCTCCAATTGGAATCACTCCAAAATTCATCTGTTTGAATACTCTTTGCTCCAGAGGAAGTCGAATGTCCTACATCGAAAATATATAACAAAGTATCAAAATTCTCACAAAATAACCAATAAATTATAACTAAGAATAGGGAAAAATATATAGTATAATATCGCCCCATCAATCCGCACCAAATGATGTAAAAGCAAGATATAACTTTGGGTTTTTTGTTTACATTTTCCAGCCAAAATGGATATTTTATATATCTCCATATGAGAGTTTTCCAGCCAACCAAAAACATAAAATACACATTTCAAGACATTTTGCATCTTCCATTAACAATTTTCTTTAGTGAGTTGAAAAAAATAAATAAATAACTATATGTGGGTACAGAGTGCATTCATATATATCAGATATTCTAAAACTGATGCATTCATTTTAGTGCTGTTAGTGCAGTCATATATATCAGAGCAGCTAAAATATATGCATTCATTTTATTGATAATATCTCAAACATCCAACATAATATTTTATGCTACAAAATGGTAGTAGCATAAAAAAGTTTAATTGTCTGGTACTTATGTCTCAGGTGGAGCTGCATTATGTCTTTTACCAGGAGCAGATGGTGGGATTATTGTACCCTTTGGCTTCATAACAAAATGGAATTCTCCCGATGATATTTTGGGAAAACGGTTTTGACTCACTCCAACTCCATGCTCTGTAGCTCCTGCATCAGATGGTTGAACTGGAGAGCCTTTTGATAATTCACGAAAAGTTGATGGAAATGGATCAAGCAGAGGGTTACCCTTGCTAGGACCAGATGGTGGGATTGGAAAGCCGTTCGATAGGATGTGTCTAGGTATAGCCCATCTTCCGAGCAACTGATTATGCTTCACTTTGGTGCCATCTGAGAAGGAAGAGGCAAAGCCTAGGGCTAGCAAAAGGAGCAAGGCCAGCCATGAAATGTTTTGGTAGGATAGTGATAGACCCATGATAATGCTTCTCTTTCTCTCACTCTTTGTTTTTGTTGTTTCTGAACGAAAGTTATGCTATGTTGTTGTGCTCATATAAGAGATTTATTTTCCTTGTATGGTTTTTTGCTATTTATTAGCACGTTGAATCCATGTTAGATTTGTGGTATATCAATTTGTATTCTGTTGTATTTGGTGTGTATATTCATATGAATCCATTAAATTTTTTTCCTTTTGAGGTTTAGCAACTTTGGAATTTCACCAACTATATACAACTTATGGAAGGATAGGAGGAAATGATACGACCAACTAGCTTTTAATTTATTTGTGCCAGATTCGACTCACTTGAATTTGCGGCGTATAAAAAATATTAAGACTAACTACCCTTTAATTTATTCGTACACGTTTCAACTCACTTGAATTACGGCGTATATGAGAAAATATTATAATGAATTGACCTTTAATTTTCCGCCAAATTCACACCATCAATCGACAACATCACTGCAAATGACAACAATAAATTATGGTGGCCAGCGGGAAATACGACACGGTTTTTGCTTTCGCTGGTATAGCTGCTCACATTAGTTAGCACTGAGTGTTTAAGTGTCACATGAGTATATAAATAAATATCAAATTCGACTCACATGAATATATAGCAAATTCGATAAACAGTTGTAATTGACCCCATTGTGATATGGAGAAATAAATAAATAAAAAAAAAGGTAATTATGTAGTCGATGAGCATTCTTTTCTACCCCTATAGTCATACCCACCAACAATTTTTTTCTCTAACAAAGACCATCCCATTTATTCATCTTCTCATGAAACTACAATTTCAAGTCGTCATTTACATATTCTATTTAAACTCGTCGACCAAAAAAACGAACAGAAGAAAAACTTCAGTTGAAATTCTTGGCCTTCTACACTACATAACCACTACCTCTGCTACTAGCTCATCTATCAACTTCCTCTCTACTTCCCCACCTATTACGTCTATTTCATCTCCAAAATCCATCCACAGCGAGTCACGTTGCAGCTCGTTCTCTAGATTGTCCTCACTCGCATTCTCTTCTTGGCTTGCTAGAAACTTGCGAAGATCCTCTTCAAGTGAACTTGTATTAATCCACTTGGGACCAATTCTTTTGTTCGCAGGCCTCGCCCATGGGTGTGGATCAGTGAATTGCTCAAAAATCTCCAGGAGCCCTGAATTTACTCGGTCAAACAGTAACTTTCTCTCGGGCTTTGGCCAAGAAGTCTGACCGTAGTACTTCTTCTCCAGTTCTTCGAATAGTAAAGGACTCATAGGAGATTCTGGAGTGTGACATATTGCCAAGAAGGTAGCCGGACCAGCATTGTTTAAACCAGATTCAGTTAAAATATCGGCCAAGTATACAGATTCCCAGCTCTCTTCATCTTTGCAAAGCCCTCTTGCATCTGAACACGCTGTAGATCCATCACCGTCTTCATCACTCGAGACTTCCATGTGGGGTTTTGATTCCAACTTGAGTAGCTGAAGCTGCATCCGAAGCCCTAGAAACCAAACAAAAAGATGAAAACTAAAGCAAACAAAAGGAATAGGCCAATTAAATAAAGGAATGCACAACACAGTAGGAAAAGTAAATCATATTTGTAAGCAAACTCAACACGGATTCAGTTCAAACAAAAATTAACTCCCATCAATGACTAAAGCGTATCCTTACCAAACACCTACACTTGAAATTGCGTGCTTTATGAGTAATCATTATAAAAAATAAAAATCAACTGACTTCTCGCACACGATGTATTGATATAAACATAGCAACATTTTACTTGGCTAGCATGTATCATCTTACTATCAAGGCTTCATCACAATAATCTAGATACGAATTAGCACCAACATATTCTATGGATACTGGAAGAAGGCAATAGCTTTTTGTAGCACCTACATATTCATAGGGAAACTGACACTAGAAACAAAAGAAATAATAATCAAAATAAATGGCCTGGCAATTACCTTGAAGGTCAGCACTGACACTCTCAAAGCATTCAGAACTAGATGACACATCATCAGTAAAAGGAACTTCCAGAACTGAAACCGGACTGGGCTGCTCAGCCTCCTTGGAGCTTGCAGGAGATTCGATTCCAGGCACAGAATGGTTAGAGGGGACTGCCTGTTCATCAGGGGGCCTGATTGATGGTTCCTGGAAATTTAATGGAATATTTGAGAGAAAATTTTTAATGTTTAATACAAAGCCCTGCTTTCAACCGAGCAGGGAAGGAATTTCAGATGCGACGTACATATAAAGTATGACGCATACACTTGTTGGTATAAATGGTGATAAAATAGTGAACATCCGACAACGAGTAATATGCAACATACACATGTTTTCAGGAGCATCAAAGATGAAATTATATAAGATTTTTTAAGAATCAGTTCCTGAAATATCTACAGAAATAGGCCTCCAATAATTCTATATCATTGCAGCACTGATAATATCATACTGCACAAGTAAAAGCCCAGCAGAAAAATTAAACACGCACCTGGGGAATTAGGTTATCTTGGTGACTACCAGAATAATCACCTTCTACTGACATATGAGATGATAATTCTGGAAGTAACACATCGGGACTTTCACAAGGCATGGATGCATCCCCATCCATCAAATTTGCAGAAACTGGACTTTTATCCATAGCATTACGAGGCGGTGACTCAAAGACTGCAACATTCTGCTGGGGTTGATTGTTCTCTTCAAAGTCAGTTCTATCTTTATTCTCAGTAGTATGAGTTTCAGGTGAAATGTCAATAGCTTCCCTACTTAAGGAGTGAGACGAATAAGAAATTTTGTTGCTAGATCTAGACAGTTTATGGCCACCTTCTCTAAGATCAAGATGACCAGTTACTGTGCAGTGTCTTTCGTGCAGGACTCTCTCCTTTGGCATCAGATACTTGTCATCATGTACAGTTTCACACCACATACTTGTTTTAAAACTTGCAAACGCAGTAGATGAAGAAGGAAGAGATTTTGATCTTGATAAACTATTGATGCATCCATCCTTCCAACCATCCCTACTGCTGATACCCAGAGGTCCACCCCACCGTGCAGGTGCATCTTCAGTAGAAAACGTATCTCTGAATCCTGCCTCGCCAATCATGGCATTCAAATTAGCAGCTCGCGTTTCCTTGTCTGGGACAGCAAGCATTTCACCAAGTGTGCTGCCCCTGCTAACGGGTCCCACTTCTTGGGACTTGCGAGTCATCTTCCACCTCTCCGAGAGCCTCTTCTTAGCCTCTCTACTCACGGATGATTCAGTAGAGCACGACGATGAAGGCCTGGAGTGGTTACTTATGTGAAATGAATGCCTGGAAGACACCGACATCACCTCTGACTCAGTTGCAGACTCATTCTCAGACATGCTACAACAACTCTCATCACCAGCATATCCTTTCAAACCAGAGGAGGAAAGACGCACAGAATTACTGCTAAATTTATTCCTCATTTTCCTTGTGATTTCCTTGGCAACTTCTCTAGATTCTCTGGACTTGTGCCTCAGATGCCCATCATTATCTTGGACATTTTTCCTTCCCCGTGATTCTGCCTCCCTATCTCTAATGCTCAGAAATTCAGAGTGTTTGCTTCCATCTAACATAGAAGCATGAGGAGAACAAGGTGATGTTTTGGTAGCATTCAGCACCTTCCCAAGGTTTGGTTTCAGAACAACTATCCTTGTAGGATGAATGGCAGATTCAATTTTCACTTCCGGTCGGCTTAGAGATGATTTAGGAGGATTATGACCAGCATGTCTACTGTCAGAGTGGCTAGGAAAAGAATCACGATGCTTCTGCGGAGATTCAGAGCGATGCTTCCGCTCTCTCGCTGATGTGAAGCCAAGGTCAATGTTTTCATACTTCTGAGCTTCTGATGACTTCATAGATGCTATGCGACCACAACGGGATTGAGGAACACCGTGCAGATCATGCAGATGTTTAGCAAACAATGAGTCTGGTTGCTGAAGGAATTTCAATAGAAGATCCTTGTTAGATTCCAGCACCTCAAGCGCATCATGGAATTCCTTTGAATCCTGTAGCCTCTCATCAGTTGAAAGGCGTTTTGCATCCATGAACTTCTGTCGAACAAAAGCCATTTCAGCATCACTGAGCTTTGGGTTAGCAGTTCCTCGTGATGAGTAACCCTTTGAAGTTTCATAAACTTCAAACACATCCTTGAATTCTTGCTGCACCCTTGAGTTCTTCCTGGAAGAGCGGCGTTCATAAGACATACTGTTTCTGTGCTCTGTCTCTTCCGATCTTGACTTCTGAAAATAATTCTCCGAAATGCCTTTCGGTTGTCTATGAGCAGGCTGCTGAGGTGGCAGCCCATCAAGACCCATCAATTTGGCAATTACGCTTGGTGATCTCCTTCTGGGTTCAATTTCTCTCACCATCTCCTCAGCTAATAACTTCTTTATTGGAGTTCCAACAGCTTGCTGTGAAGATCTCCAGCCCAATTCAAAGGGGAACTGCAACGACAAAATTGGCACATTTCATCATGCATGTCACATTGTAATTATTTTCTGACATGTCATTATTTTCAATGCCAACATATATCCGAAGGAGGGGAAAATCTAGAAAAAAACAAAGAAGGCGGAATCTACTCTGCTCCAGATATAAAATGAACTGACAAAACAAACAAAAAAAACAAAAAGGTCGTTTCCAGTGCACAAGGCTCCCGCTTTACGCAAGGTCTGGGAGAGGTGAATGTCGGCTACCCTTACCCCCATTTATGGAGAGGCTGCTCCCGAGAACTCTAAGTTTTATAGAAAAACACTTCACTACCTCAATTGGAGAAAAAGAAAAGTCCCCATCCAAATGAAATCCTTCCCCCATCATCAAGTCAATTGGGTTTATTTTTCTTAACTATTGGCTTCAAATTGTTCTTTCTCTAAAGTGCAATGTTATGAAGGGCTTACACACAACTAGTGAGTAGAAAAAGAGATTACCGAATCTTCACCAGTAGAGCCACTACTGCAAGAACTCGAATCAGAGGCCAATTTCGGAATGTGTTTCTGTTTCTGAACCTGCCTGTTTCCTGAAAACAAAACCCCCAAACAACAACAGGATCAACATTTCAAAGCATGGACAAATTGAGAAGTATACACTCCATAAAATTTTGCAAGTGATTAGAAATCACCAAATGAATTAGAATCCAACCCAGTAAAGTAGATGAAATTTCAACTGTACCCTTTCAATCAAAAGTAAAGGAAACATGGCAATCAATGTCTGGAAAATAGCATGCAGAAAACAGAGGAAGCTTCAATTGTTCCCTTTGACTCATCAAAAAGAAGCAATTGAATTATGTCTCATCATTCCAGTGGAAACAAAGCAAATCATGGCAAAACCACTACAGAAAAAGTCACAAACTTTACCAAATTTACAGATACAACCCCAAAATTAACCTGCATTGCATAAGCATTAGTGTAAAATAAACAAAAACAAAAAAATTACTCAATTAAAATTAGAGCTGCCAATTGAAAATAAATTGTTATCCTTAGTGGATAATTTGATAGAAAAAACTTTGAGAACAATAAAAACCAGTTACTAAGTTCAGAATTTTGTAATTTTCTTCAAGTGAGCTGAATAATTTAGCTTAATCGTTCTGTTTTCGGAACACCGGAGAAAAATAACTACTTTCAGCCAAAATCTGAAATTTTCTCTTCCACAATTCTTTCATTTTTCTCGGCAACCAAACAGGGTCAGAAATTCAGACAAACCACAAAACTAAAACCCCGAAAAATAAAAAAGTTTCGAAATTCAGAAAAAAAAAAAAAAACCAGACCTCTGTAAGCTCGCTCAGCGGAGGTGAATCGTCCTCCGTCGGAGCTCCTATCAGCAATACTGGTCACCTTAGACCTCCGAGGCCGCAAGTTCTCCATTTTCACACATTAAAAACCCAAAAATTGAAAATTTAACAAAACAAAAAGCGAAAGAAACGGAGATCGGAAACTCCGCAGCGACACACGCGACGCGAATGTTCCGAGAAAATTACAGAGAGAAAAAAAGGAAAAAAAAAAACCCCAAATTTCAGCTCCCCATGTTCTGAAGAGAGAATCAAGAAAAAAAAAAACAGATCTTGAACAGAAAGAGAAAGTGAGAGAAAGCAGCAGAAAACGGAGAGAGAGAGTAATAAAGAGGCGTCCGTTACTGAGAACTGCTAGAGAGAGAGAGAGAGTGGGGTGACTGGGAGTGTGGTGGTGGGTGTGAAGAGAGAGAAAGTGAGGAGACAGAAAGAGAGGGGAGAGGGAGAGGGGGGGAGAGAGAGAGAGAGAGGGAGGAAGGGAGAAAGTTCGTTTTGGGGTTTTGTTTTGTTTTGGGATTTTTGAACTTTCAAATACCGATATACTGACAGGAGGGGCTGAGGCTCTGCGCGGGCAAGTTGAGCGTGTGTGACTGTGGATGGACTACAGTAAGGATGGTGTGAGGCGAAACAGACTATGACTCTGCCCATTGTCCAGGTGTCGTTCCTGGGATGTGGCCACGTCACTGTCCTGTTTCGTGGCCTCTTGGCTTCACTCTTTGTTTGCTTGGGTTTTTTTCACAATTTCATGGTGCATCTTACCTTTGATGGAGAAAATTGGGAGTGGTTAGGGTTAGGAGAGAGCATTTTCGGGTGGTTTGGATTTGCATATTTACAATTGGCTTAGGGTTATTAATATTAGTATGAATCGGTAATATAGACGTTTGAGCTGATCGGATCATATTTGTCGTTTGGATGACAACTTACTTACAAGTAGCTATAAACTTGCTCAGATCTTGATTTGTAGCCCCTGAAATAGCCAAAATTTGCTACCTTTCTGACATTGATCCGTCGTCCTCAAAAGTGGCCAAAATTGAGTCTACTCAACTAAGAGATCTATACTTACCTAAGTGACCAAATTGTCAACATCGTGACCAAAAATAATCTCCAACAACGTTGCATCTCTCAACTTGCCTGAATGATCAAACTGTTAGCATTGAAATTTACTAAAATTTGGTCTATTTTGCAACAACACATCTTTGTATTTGTCCAAATGATTAATTTGTCAACATCGAAAATGGCAACCATTTGATCTACTTCTCCAACAACAGCAAATCTCTCTACTTTCCTAAAAGATCAATTTGTCGAGTTCGAAGATGGCTAAAATTTGATTCACTTCTCTGAAAACAACGTATCATTGTACTTGCCTAAATGATACAATTTTGTCGGCGTCGAAAATGGCAAAAACCAAATCTACTTCTCTAACGACAGTGTTTCTCTCTACTTACCTAAAATGATCTATTTGTTTGCGTCGAAAAAGGCTAAAATTTCATTCACTTCTCTGACAACAACATAACTTTGTACGTGCCTAAATGATCAATTTTGTCGGCGTCAAAAATGGCAATAACCAAATCTACTTTTCTAAAAACATGTCTCTCTACTTACCTAAAAAGATCAATTTGTCAGGATCGAAAATGGCTAAAATTTGATTCACTTCTCTTACTTTGTACTTAAAAGATCAATTTGTCAACCTAAAAATGACTGAAATTTGGTATACTTACACCACAACAACATATCTTGTATCATCCCGGTATTAGCGATCAAGATTTATGTGATATTGAATAATGTCAAATCACATATAGATATCTATGATCCCCTGTAATGCATCTCATGTTGAAACAATTCTTACAAACATAACTTGATCAATTTACTTGGGGCCAGAGATTTCTGTGATGGATCTAGTGGCTTCGAGGGATATTTCCTTCTATTAAACAGTTGCCATAATGCGATAGATTTCTAAATGTGCTTCATGTATCTTCATACTTATACATATGAACCCATGTATCAAACTATCGAGCCCTATGAAGCAATGAGGGATTTGAAGTAAAATCAAAGTTCATATTTAGAAGTATAAGATACCTATGAGGCCTTATGTTTGAGAACTATGTGCATACTATAACATGAAGCTTTGTAATGTTTGACATGAGGTTATCATCCATACGTTTAAGATTCTTGGGTAGTCAGTGTTCAGTGAACTTGTTCAACATACAAGCACCTGTATATACACCACATAACCAACATGCATAGCACAAGACCATGCTAACCTTAATGCGATATACATCAGCATTTTCAGAAAGTCAATATTCATTTGACTTTCCAAATAGCTAGGAACTTTATTGGAGGACAAAGTGATTGTGGAATACAAGTCCCCCTCCCTAACTTAGTTTAGGACATTGCTTCCATATCTTAAATCATATCAACTCATTCATAGTATATGATCTCTATAATATAAAGTAAAACTCATAAATGAATAAATCTTGCCCTATTGTGGGGATTGATCACTGGGAAATGTTTTATTCATATTTAGTATCATGTTTGATCTTTGTATGGATGGTTTTTGCAATTGAGATGAGTTGTGCATATTTTTTCATGTTGTATTACTTGAGCATTGTAACATGAAGAACAACATGAATAGATTGTTGTACTAGTTGCTAGCATTGTACTCTTATTTTATTTATAATACAACAATATTATTTACACTAAAGAGATTAGTGTTTTGGCTAAGCCGCACATTAGACTTACCATAATTTATAGTTATCGAACTCGTCATTTATAAAAATTGAACTTAACACGTCTCACTTACTAATATATTAAAAAATAAAAAATAAAAATAAAAAAAACTATACCGTACGACATCATAATAATTTTTAAGTTCAATATTATACTTGTTTACAAATAAAAAAAATGCAAGGACTAGTATAAAGTGACACGCTTTCATGAGGGTAAAAACACTTGAATTTCTTAGATGTACATATGATATTTGCTTTAAAAAAATTAAAATAAAATAAAAGACCAATCCACGATAGTACTTTTTAAAGGCCTTTTAGCCTTTTGTGTACATATGATATTTTGAAGATTGCAGATTTTTGGGATTTGGAACATTAATTTTAACAAAATAATTTTGTACAGTTGGGTGAGTGTAAGGTTTATTAGAAGCACTCGTGGAAAAATACCATGTTATTGTCAAACTAACTTGATAAAAATATTTAAATATGTATCATAAGGGTGGGCAAACGGGTATAGAAACCGCGGGTCGGAGCGGGTAATCACGGTTTGGGACGGGTACGGGCCGGTTCTTAATATTTTAGAAAACAAACGGGGCGCGTCGGGGCGGGCCGGGTCCAAATACTTAGAAAAACGGGTACCCTGACCGACCCGTTTCAAATTATAATGGATGGCTGAGATTGAATGATAACCTATCATTCAATCTCAACCATTAATTTCTACCTAGGTCTACCCGAGTCCAAGCCAAGTTCCAGAATCATCACTCTCTCAAGTCTCAGCTGCCTCTCTAATCTCTATCCCTCTCTTTCGCTCCTCTCTTTCGCTCTCACTCCATCTCTTTCCTTTTCAACTCTGTCACAGTGTCACTGGAATGGAGGCCCCAATTGCCTCGTACGGAGACTCGTCGTCGGACTCAGACTCGGAGTCGTCGGCTTCACCTCCATCACCACCTCCGAAGCTCAACAACCCTCAAGAATATACCTCTGCGCTGCATGTAGCACATATCACGTTGTCAAGTGTTTCCCCTTCCTCCTTCACTTCACTTTCTCGAATCGTTGGCCCGAGTTCAAATTGAATCGAAACCGAAAGCTCGGATCTTTATCGCTAAATGGGTACAGTCACTATCCACCAGCTGAAGTCCTGCTTCAGGTAAATCAGTGTGTGGATTGTCAGTCTTGAAATTTGAAGTTATCGCAGTTTAGCGTTACGTGGATTATCAATGTGTTGTTTATCTGGTTCTCAAGACTTTACTAGAGTACCAACTGTCGTTGATTTTGATCTAGCTTGTATGTGTGATGCCATGAACAATCTAAAGGGGGATTCTAACAAGATTAACCCATTGGTGAGCTACAAAAATGCGTGCATTGTTGCTTAACATTGGCATTTCTTGTTTATAATAACTTGATTGTCTTTCCGGTTGCATTACACGCATGCCATTTTATTTTTTCTTTTAACTGTTTCAAAGGGTATCAATGTTGGCTTCTAATGAATGTAGGTCCCAGTAGATCTTGTCATTGATCGCTTTCAAGTAGATGTTGCAAGATCAGAAAATGCGGTGCAGACAAATATGGAACTTGAGTTCCAGCGAAACAAAGAACGGTTTGGTTTTCTGAAATGGGGATCAAATGCATTTCATAACATTCAGATTGGCGCCGTTCCAAAACCGAAAAAAAAACAAAGGAAAAAAAAAGTAATCGGACCCGTGGACCCATCCCGAACCGGTACGTTTCAAACGGGCCAAGTTAGGTCTGGTTCCTAAAATCAAAATCCTTCTACCCGGCCTAGCCCGGCCCGTTACATATTAAAACGGGTAGGGCCAGGTTCCTCCAAATTTAGGCCCGACCCGGCCCGTGCCCAACCCTAATGTATCACACTCTGATATTGAATATTCCGCCAAACCTGAATTTACATCATTTTTTTTAGTACATCAATATTTTTACATTAAGGGGAGGGAAAGCTCAGGTAAGCCACACAATGGGCAACCTAATTTGATATCAAATTCGTCATCTACGAGATTCGAACCTAAGACCTCTCACTTTCAAGTAAAAAGAAATATCACCAGACTGTAGTACTGAGTGGCACATCATTTATTTTAACAAATAAATTTTTTCTAACATAGAGGCTTATATACTTAGGTCATCTCCAACCGGATCGGTCATAGGACTATAGGCTAAAGGATAGTCATTTTTTACATAAAACTCATCTCTAATGAAGGTTTGGGCCAAAAATTCTTGGGATCCACTGGGCCAAAATTCAGCCATATGGCTAGAGGGCTGACCATCTTTAGTCAGCTAGATAACCCTTTCAGTTGAGCTCAGCATATTTTTTTTTTTTAAAGACGAAATTAAAAAAAAATTAAAATTCTAATTTTTTTTTCTATAAATACCTAAGTGTTGCAGTCCTATTAGATTAGAAATGTGATTATGTAAATCCTAGTAGATATGAGAATATATCTTATATTCCTATTAGGAGTAGATTACTTATTAAATGTTCTAATCCTAAAGGGTAAGAAATTAACCTTCCTTACTACTATAAATAAAAGCACAATGGGGTGGAATAGAACACACCTCACAATTACATATCTCTCTGTTCTTCTCTCTATGCCGTACTTTCCCTCTCTCTATGGCCTCCATAATTGTTCAATAAATTATGCCTACAACACGTTATCAGCACGCTCTTGACGCTGCGCTAACAAGAGAGTTTGATCTTCAATCAGGGGAGT